AAACTAATGAAAACTGCCAGACTGGTCTAGATGCAAGGATCATAATAAGTATTGGAAGTGTAAGGGGAGCCTACTTTCTAGAAAGTGGAACTGCATTTTGCATTTGGCTGATGCTCTTGCTCTACTGATCAGGCTAGCTTCCAAGTTCTAGCTGTTCATATTTAATTCTACACAGAGGATCAGCAATTCAAAAATGTCACAGTGTCAATTACACGGCTTAAATGTTTTGAGGACACTGATGGGTAAACATTCTTTGACCTAGGAAGTTCATTAAGCTAGGATGACTTTCTGGTTTAGCACCAGAGAGCTTGATAGGAATATTAGACCAGTATTATATATTATATATATTGAGGCTGGTGCTGGAGAAGACTCCTGCGAGTCCCTTGGACTGCAAGGCGTTCAAACCAGTCAGTCCTAGAGGAGATCAACCCTGACTGCTCTTTAGAAGGCCAGATCCTGAAGTTGAAACTCAAGTACTTTGGCCACCTAATGAGAAGGAAGGACTCACTGGAGAAGAGCCTCATGCTGGGAAAGATGGAGGGCAAGAGAAGAAGGGGACGACAGAGAATGAGGTGGCTGGATGGAGTCCCTCAAGCAGTAGGCCTGAGCTTCAATGGACTCCAGAAGATAGTAGAAGACAGGAAGGCCTGGAGGAACGTTGTCCATGGGGTTGCGATGGGTCAGACACAACTTCGCAACTAACAACAAAAACATTATATATATTAGACCAGTTTGGTCTAGGGGCTAAGGCACCAGGCTAGAAACTGGGAGAACGTGAGTTCTATACCATCTTAGACCAGTTGGTGACCTTTGGCCAGTTCCTCTCCCTCAGCCCAACCCTACCCACCTCACAAGGTGGTTGTTCTGGGGAATATAGGAGGAAGAAGGCGTGTTGGATATGTTTGCCGCCTTTACTCATTTGTTAAAAGAATAAAGATGGGATACAAACAATAATATATATCTACGTCAGGGGTGTCAAACTTGCGACGTCATGTGACGTCACACAACATATCGGGCCGGTTTTGCCATTGCCGGCAATGGAGTGGGCGCAGCAGTTTGATACCCCTGATCTACGTACACTAATTAATATGCACCTGATGCAAAATAAAGAACCATGGGTAATGCTTCTCACCATGTGTTTTAGCTATGTATAATGCATTAATAGCATAGGATGATTATATGAGCAAGCCAAGCCAGTGTTTCTCAACCTTGACAATTTTAAGGCATGTGGACTTCAACTCCCAGAATTCCACAGCCAGCTTTGCTGGCTGTGGAATTCTGGGAGTTGAAGTCCACATGCCTTAAAATTGTCAAGGTTGAGAAACACTGAGCTAAGCCTAAATCACTAAATCTTTGGGGGGCCTTAGAGAATCCGGAGAGGTAGCTTCCATGTCTGCCCAGCTCACCCGAGTGTCCGCCGGTGTCGACGGCGGTGCCAAAGAGCAGCACGTACTCCGAGAGGGAGGCGTGGAGGAGGCACATGGAGCCCATCCAGCCGCCGGCGTTGACGAACACCCAGCGCAGGTCCTCGTCCGGCAGCACATGCCCCGGGTGTCGGCGGCGCAGCTCCACGATGATCTTGGCAAAGGCTAGTTCGTGGTCCAGGCCTGCAAGGAGAGGGGGGGAAAGGAGTGTTGGCTTGAGTTGGGACGAGGACCATGGGGGCTGGAGTCCACCCGCGCACCCTCCCCAGGGCTCCGCAGAGCACCATGGAGACTGGAATCCCTTCCTTGGAGCCTTATTGAGCATCCTCGGGGACTGGAACTCGCCCTCAAGCGCTCCCCAGTGGCTTCCTGAACCCCATGGGGACTGGAGTCCGTCCACACCCCGTCCTTAGCGCCTTGCTGGGCATCATGGACACCTGCTCCACTTCCCCTGCACCCCGCCGAGCACCATGGAGACTGGAATCCACCCGCCTCACTTCCCAGCGGCTCGCTGAGCATCATGGACCCCTGCTCCACTTCCCCTGCACCCCGCCGAGCACCATGGAGACTGGAATCCACCCGCTTCATTTCCCAGCGCCTTGCTGGGCATCATGGACACCTGCTCCACTTCCCCTGCACCCCGCCAAGCACCATGGAGACTGGAATCCACCCCTCACTTCCCAGCGCCTTGCTGGGCATCATGGACACCTGCTCCACTTCCCTTTCACCCCGCCGAGCACCATGGAGACTGGAATCCACCCGCCTCACTTCCCAGCGCCTCGCTGAGCATCATGGACACCTGCTCCACTTCCCCTGCA